AAACTGCACAGTGTGCATTACATACACAACACACCTATAAATATATATAAATATATATTGTGGCACTTTCGATCCAATAAAGTACTAAACCCGATAATCTCGCTTATTGATCCAGTTCAGACATATACATTTATCGAAATCATAGCAAAATTGTATTTATTAGTAGTTTTCTCCAGTTTGGCATATAAAAAAACAAACACACACAAATGATACGACTATTGATTGAACGATGGACAATGTATACTCTTGTGTATTCGAATACATCTAAATTCATTTTGAATTGCAATTCAAATGAGAAATTTTCCAAGTTCAGGCCAACTAACTCAATAGACACTCTAACACTACATAGTAAAAATCAAGTGTTTGATTGAAATGAAGAATAATAAAAAAAAAAAAAACAAAAATATTAACCCAACCACCCTGCAAAAGCAAAGTTTAAACTCATATAAGGAAATAGCATAAAAATACAAAATAATATGAATAGAATATTGTATATGATATAGATATTCAACTATCGGCTATTAAGCATAGATAAACATTGCATTATTGATATTATTACTAAAAAATTACAGCCAATGCATAGAAAACATAGACATACATACAGAAACCGACACACACATACACACACACAACAACAACAACAACAACAGCAACAAAATACAGAACGAGAAGAACAGAACAAAAAAAAAACCAAAACCAACAAATACTACAATCCGACAACATAAATTACATTTATGCGTTGAAACTACAAAATACTAGTTTACGATTAAAAACAAATTAAATGACGGAATTGCCAGTGTCATTATTACTATCTATTTGCTCGGCTAATGATGGATAAAACCGAATACACTCTCTTTTTTCTATCTCTCTATCTATTTTTTCCCTCTATCAGACTTTTGATTTCGGTGAAAAGTTTATATATCTCTTATACGACGAATGAATGACGATCGATATGGAGTGCTGTGCGGCTTATGCTACATTCCTCACTTTGAGATTTATATATTTAAAAAAAAGTTCATTCAATGATGTAAAAAAATCCATTCGGACAGAGAGACCACTTGTATGAGTTTCTTGAATACCAAAAAAACACGGACGATATAATAAAACTAGCACACAAACAAACACCGAAACCGAATGGAACATTTGATAGAATTATTACATTCGCTACCATGATGGAAATGAACGAACAGAATAATGACATTTTTAATGAGATTTGGAAACATTACAACAAGGAATAGGAATAATAACGACACTTGCAATTCCAATAATAAAATTTTACGTGTACGTTTTTATTTCGTAATAAAATACATTTACTGTAAATTGCATTGTCTTTCATTTTCATTTTCATTTTTTGGCGAAAAGTTTGGGCGAAAGGATGGCATTGCATTGGCAGTGCTGTCGTCTGATGGCTTGCACTCGACCGAACATTTATTTTATATATAAAAGGTAGTGTATAAATTTGGAGTCTGTTATATGGAACAAACATTCAACTATATCTTAACTAGCATATCTAGGTAACATTAAATATGCCGAACATCATATCTTACAACGACCAAAAATTGACTACTTATTCGTTTGCAGTGGATGTCCCCTTTCTCTGTTCCCCTTCTTCTATTTATTCCTTTCTTCCGCCCACTTGCTTAACATGTGGAGAGAAAAAAATCACCTCAAATTGATGCCATTCAGCCAGGCATTTGATGATGAAAGGTTTCCCATAAGTATATCGATCCAATCTTGACTTTGTACAATTGCATCTGTCGTCATAACTAGCATCCCGGACTTGAGTTTTTACTTACTACATTTACTTTTTGAAATTGCAATTCAATATTGTGAATTATATCAGTTGAAACGAGAACAATAATTTAAATGCATTTATGCAAGCAGCTTCGAGTAACAGTTTTTTTTATATTAACTTCTTTTTGAATGTATCGATCCATTCGATACACGCTTTTTTATTCTTTCCCTCTCTCTCTCTCTCTCTCTCTCTCTCTCTCTCTCTCTCTCCATCTACATTTCTTCAACCGTTAAATTGTTGTCCTGGAGAAAATGAAATAACTTGAAGAAAATAAGTGAAGCATTGCATTGAGATTAACATTAGACAAGGTATGAAGCAGTGAATTTACAAAATAAAAGTTTACCCAAGCTACTGGTGTACGACTGAAAACTATTGATTTTACGAGATATCATACTGCTTCAAAGAAATTCAAAGCGTACAAAAGTTCATCGAAACAAGTATGTATTACATTCTATGTTGATTTTTTTTCGTATATATACATCGGCAGCAAACAACAACATTTATGCATTTAGTTTATTGTTGTGCTTCCGAATGATTAACGAATATAATTAAAATCGATACAAATTGAGCATAAAACTTACTCTAGATTGTTGAATATCGCTGATGACTGGTGCAAATTAGGACTTTTAGTTTCAATTTAAAATGCCAAAGTTGAATACAAAGTATATACATTTGTAACAAACCCAAAAAACGCAGCAGCACAGCAAAGCTTGTTGTAGATGCAATCGCTAGTTTTCAGCAAATGAAAGACTTAAGCATCGAAAACTTTTTGCACTCTCTTCCTCTGTCGCTCTTTTCACCCACATTCGCAAGTGTTGACATTCACACTCACATTTGTACCAGCAAGTAAAAAAAAACATATTAAAAAAACACTGTGCTCCATACAAGAATGTTGTGTATATTTTGAATCCATTTCATCATCGTAAAGATTGAAATGTTGCTCAACGAATTGCCCAAGGGGAAAACCGGTACTGAAATACTAAATATACTCAGAAGTATTGAAAAGTACCGATAAGTACCGAAACGTATCAAAACGTACCAAAACGTACCAAATAGGTATTCGTTTCAAAAAAAAGTGAATAATTTTTTCGTGTTTTCGACTGTCTTTTTGGTTTTACATGGCAAGCTTGTATGAAACTCTCGGAGACTCGGTATAATGCACAAAAAAAGTGAATTTTTTTTTCGATATTTTTGTGCACTATACCAAGTCTCCGAGAGTTTCATATAAGCCTGCCATGTAGTAGCAGAAAGACAGTCGAGAATATTGAAAAAAAAAATTGCGACACAAATTTCCATACAACAATTTCATTTTTTTGCCAAAAATCGAAGGTGCCCTTATTTTTTTTTTTTTTCAAGTTTTATTTATTTATTTAAATCACCGCCAAGAACTGGCTGAATAGATACAGTTTTGGGGTAAAAAAGAGTGTCCAAGGATCTCGTTTACAGTTTAACTATAACTAAACAATAACTACGACAACATCAACTTGATTATGAAACTTCCAATTTTTATCAGAAATGGTTCATTTTTCCACAATCGTCCAACTGCGATGCAGAAATAGCCTCATAATTTGCAGCAAAACCACGATGTTTTGTGTAACTTGAGACATAATTGATGATCATGCGATTTCCAGTTGACACCATAATATGCTCTGAAATATTAGTACCACAGAAACGACCCAACAATGGTGATTTATACCAATAACCGTCACGAACTTCTAAATAGTCACTTTTACAGTCATCCGATTTGAATATACTTAAATCATTTATTTTAAGTCGAATCCGTTGTCCATCCTTGACTGTGATACGCCATTCACATAATCGATATGTTCGACTTAATGATTTACTGTAGTATTCTGGCGATGTAAATGCAGCTGCTTGATCAAAATATGTTCGGCCACACTCGGGACAGTTATACAATTTCTTTGTTTTTCGGATGTCAATTGTACTCAATCTTATATTTCTACCAAGTTTCGGGAAAAAGCCATTCTTTCCTTTCTTCGGCAAAATGGTAAATATGTCAGCAGAGGTCAAGTTTTTACCTTGATATGAAACGTGCCCCACAGTCCGAATAAATGATTCCAAAAACCAGTACTTTGAACCAGCAACTTGGCTGTAATGCATGATCGAGTCAAAATCGTATGGTTCGTCAAGTGTTGATACCTCTCTAGGTGACAGTTTTTCAAAATTTTGTTTGAAAACTAGATCGTTGAAGTAATTTTCTTTTTTAATTTCAATATACTCATCACGATCGGGCCTGTTATGTTCGTGGTGATATCCAATTGCATGACCCAATTCGTGTGCGATTCTCGATTTAAATTTGGAGCAATAATTTCCGATAATTAAATCTTGAACACCACCTTGTTTACCAACATGCGAACAACAATTGCATATTGAATCGTTCTGCGTAAATCGTATGAAATCTTCATGTTCGATTGAATTTCGTTCAATAAAAATAATGCAAGTGAAATTTTCCCAGTGGCGCATTGCCGCCTTGATATTCGCTATTTTATTGTCATCAAATCCAGCTGTCGTGTCTATTTCGTATGGAATGACGCCAAAATCCCAGATCTTCTCTATTACAGCAGCCCGCTTCGAATGCACATTATGTGGTTTTTGAACACTTTCAACAGTCGATTCGATCATTATGTCGTCCTTAATCATAAGATGTGATTTACACACATACACGGAGTATTGGTGCAACAACACAATTATAACAAATGTCAACCAAAAATGATTAATTGCTAGTAGCATTTTGTTGGATTTCAAGTTGATATTATCAACACAGAAGATCTTTCGATGTATCTCGCTTGGATGTTAGGCTTCAACTGATGCTAGGCTTCAACCGCCATTGCTCTCATTAGCATAATCATCACTTGTCGCAGAATCACCTAATAAGTCATTAGTAATCAGTTTAACTGACTGTCAATACCTGTCAGGGTTGACATATTTCTGTGACTTTTCAAAGTGCTCAAAATTCGTTAAACAAAAAAACTAACTGTATTTTCACCAATTGGGATGGAACAAAAACACCTTTTTTGTTTCAGTCCAATGGACTGCCGTGCGGAAAAGTTCGTCTTACTACTGTAAGACTCTTTATTTTACTTCTTGTTTACTTACCTCGATGATTGGATCCATGCGCCTCGACATTGTTGCGTCTATTCACAGAAAATGCAAGAAGAAAGTTATTGAATAAAACAACATTCAGTTTTTGACAGTGAGGATGTTACATTTTCCAATTAATTTATTGGTTTTAAACCGTTTCAATTTTTTTATAGTTTTTATGCCTATTTAATTTTATTTTTACATAAATCATTGAATTTAATATAATATATTTCTGAATTGGGCTCTAGATTTAAGTTAAAAGCATCATTTGTAATTCATTTGAAAATTTGTTTCCATTTAAAATGTTAAACTTATCAATTTATCTGCACTGTATTCGGTACCTACGTAGCGATGATTGCGAAGTCGTTGTAATGGGAACAATTTTAGCAGCAAAAATAGCGAAATTGAAACGAAATTCTTCTTTTTTTTCCTAATTATAGGACGCACGTATGTATATACATTTTGACAAATAAAATGGTAAAGCGTTGACATAGCAAACGTTCACCGATCAAATTAGATTACAATTTAGTAAATGACATAATTGTTTTTGTCACGAATGCCAATGATATTTGATTGAGAAATGAAAGCGTTTTGGAACATTTACAACAAATGAAATATGAAATAAAACATTTCCCTTCAGAAATCCATGTCCATACACATGAAAGAGAACAATGAAATCAAATGAATCCCATGTTGATTTATTGAAAATATTCAGGTTTTTGATGAATCAAAGCCCAAAACCAACGAAAGCCTCGCAATCTTAATCTTTTGAAAGAAAAAAAAATAAAAAACAAAAACTTCAAACTGAAATCAAATTGTTTGGATTGGTTTGTGTTCTATTTTTTTGTGTTTGTTTGGTTTGTTTATTCAACTAATTACTAAAATCTAAACATGTTTGCAAATGATTTTACACATAAGGTGACTTAACTGATGTTAGTTCTCTTAACATTAGACACACGTTAATGATAAAACGATATTATCTTTAGCCACACACATACACATTCACTCACCGAACCGAATAAAAAGGAACGAAATAATGACAAGAAGAAAAGAATCGGGCTGGTTCATCAATATTATGTTGTCATTAATATTTTTTTTTTGTTTTGTTGACACAAGGCCCAATTTATTCTGTTGAGTGAATGTGATTGCCAATCTCTACAGTTTAATAATCACACTACAATCAAACTTAATCTAATCTATGGAAACATTATAACAGACACAAAAAAAAACGAAATGTACAAAGCTTTTTGTTTGCAAAATAAATATATATATATATATTTTGGGAAGGGATGCCAATTCCATATGCTTGTTTGGAAGTGTGTTTGGAGTGCATTTGTTTAGATCAAAAGATAGATTTAGGGCGTATTGTATGCCTGTAGGCATAGAATAATTCAATGTGGTTAAAAGCTTCAACATGATTTTCTGAAGAGAATGAAATTTTTCATGTTTGCTCTTGTTGCACACATAAAAAACCCCGTTTTTTTATATTTTGTTTGATCTGATACATCATATATATGTATATATGGTAGGATCAATGAGTCTAGAGTCGTTAACCGCGTGTTAATGTAGTAAAATGGAATGAAAAGACATACAGCGTAAACGAAGCGAATAATACCACACAATAGATTGGCCCAGATAATGTTCTGATCAAATTTTACCACATTTATGGTCGACCAATGAATCTTATATTCTCAAATTATTTGCACGGGTGTTGCTTTCAACAGCCGTTGAGTGTGTGTGTGCTTTGAATATTTCACGCGTTGTACATAATGTTGTTTAGCAATTCATCGATTTACTTTCATGCGTAAAATACACAAAGCACGCTTGCATGCACACACTGACACGAAAACTTATTTGCGTTGTTCGTGCTGCCCAAATAATATTTGTGCATATAAAGTTTACTCAACGAACGCAAAAAAAAAGAACGAACTTCAATGGTAGTTCATTTCAACTTTTTATGATGGGAAATGCGAAAAAGTACATTTACGATTAATAAAAATATGTCTTATGAAAAGTCATTACTTTATGATATTATTCGTTGTTATTATTATGTTTCTTACAACAATATCGAATCAATATCAAGGATATAAAATCAAGACACTTTTTTTTCTCGTCCTTTCTCGTTCTCAACCATCGTGAAATAGCAACTCATAAATGGATGTTATAACATTTGGTTTTTGTAATGAATTGTTTGTATTGACCAACAAAAAAGCGAAACAAGTGGAACTGCCATCATGAGGATAAAAAATGCGCACAATATTGTTTGCAATGATTTTGAAAATTGAAACAGTCAATTGCAGCGAATCAAATTACTTCGCATGAAATAGCTATATCGATTTACATTCTGCTCTAGGGGAAAATATCGAATAAAATAAGTTACGAATATGCTGCGTATAAGAATATAAACCGCATATACGGAAGAATATTTGCAAATAATATTTGCAAATAACTCCGTATATATGTGGTTTATACGCAAATATGCAGCGTATATGCGGCATACTTGCGATGTCTTCATCTTTTTGTAGTATATTCAGTAAAAAATACTTGCGTATAAACCGTATAAACATATAGATAATTCCCCCTAGATTCTGCTGGCAATTGAATTTTTGTCCATTTGGCCATGAATGATGCATTTAGTATTTCTTCTGCCAAAATACACACTTTATTTTTATGCTTCAAAAGCGTTGCGGCAATTCGGTGCGCAAAAGAGAGTAATTTTTCAACTATTTCGAATGACCATGGATATATGCATCCAGTGACATTTCAATCAGTTGAATCAATAATTGACTGATTTATTAATTCTTAAATGGGATGTACTATAAAATCAATCGAAATAAGACGAAAATATATATTTGTTTGTTTATTAGAAAGTTCAAATTCTATTAAAATGTTTAAAATAATTGTGATTGTGTTTGTGTGTGTGTATGTAATTTATAAAATTCATTTGAAATTTTATGGATAAAATATTCGGGTCAAATTTACTAAATGCACATCAATTGATATGCTGCATTCAATGATTCAATGCAACTTGAGGAATCAATTTTTTTTCATCTTCTCATGTTCATTTTAAAAATAGACACATAAAATGTTTATCTTTTTTCCATTTTTCAATTAAATCGAAACAAATTGTCGCCGCATCAAACCAATGATAGTTGAATAAATTGTAATTAGACCAATGGCCACAATAATTTTTTTCAGATTCTCCGATTAAATTTTTATTTAAATAAGTCTTTACTACCTGTTTGTCTGCAATTCCATTGGGACTATTGGAAACATATGCAATGGATGCTTTTTTTGTGTGTTTTTTTTTCGTTCGCTTTTCATTGGTGAATCAGATTTATATGGAAAAGAAATCGGATGCGCCGTTCGTGTTATTGTGTTGATTCTATGTGGAGAAAAAACGGTATTAAAAATAGAGATTTTCATGTATACATCTTCATAATAAGTTCTGCCATTTTGTATGTATGTGTGTGAGTGTGTGTCCTCTTCCAGTTGGAAAACAAGCTAATTTTTAATTGATACGAACATTCTAGACATTAATTATTTTATTATTATTATTACTTTTTTTTTAGAAAAGAACCACTAACCACATAAAGTATAAGAAGTGCAATTTCTCGTGCAGCATTTTAAAAATGCATTGTTTTTTTTGGTTGTATTTTTTTGTTTTTGTTGGATGTTGCATAGTTTCTGTTAATTTTTATAATTTTTTTTGCGAAAATTGATGAAAGTGTTTCTCGCCGAACAAAAAAAACACCGGGCTATCAAAATAACACCGTTAAATTACGCGTTGAATGCGTCCAAAAAAATTTAGTCGGTTTTGCGAACCTCTGTCCGCAATTTATGTCCTCGGAATGAAGCTTGAATTTTTGTGGCCGCTTTATTCAGTTCCGGATCATTTAAATCAATATCTAGCTCTTCGGCAACTTTTTTAGTGATTTCCTGTAGATCTTTATCATCTTTAAGTTCGCTGCCATCTTTCACCTTTCGAGCCAAATGACCACGGAATGCAGCCTGAATACGAACGGCAGCATCGCATAGCTCTGTAAGTAAAAAACAAGAAAAGATATACTCAAGATTAAAAATTAAAGGAACAAAAAAAAATATATAATAGCACAAATGTGTTTGAAATAAAATAGCATTAAAGCTTTAAGAATATAAACTCAAGTGAAATCTAGACAGATTTGAATGAAAACACTTTGTTTGCCATCACAACAATCATATACATACGCCATTCAAAGCGCTGAGAGTTTTCCACTTTATTAAAAAACGGAAATTTAGCCTGAGATGATGTGAAACGTCACATTTTTGAGAAGTTTATTTTCTCACACCATCGTCGTGTACACACAAACGTTAAAACGGCACATAGCCGCTCATTTATGAATAATAATGACGGTGGATTTTTTTTTATATTGTTTTTTATTGTTTTCATGTCTTGTTTGAAAATTCTTTTATTCTTATTTTCTTCTTCTTCTTTTTTCGTCATGTTCTTCCATCGGCTCTTTTCGTCGGTCGTTTTACTTTTATATTTTTATCGTGTTACATTTCCTTTGGCCGAACTCAACTTGAAAATGTGTTACGACTTGTTGGACGCAAACGTAAAATCGAACGAAAAACTGAGATGAAAAATGAAAAAGCTACACCGTTCAATAAGTCTAGATGTTGAACATCATTAATCACAGTTCTGGCAATTCTTTGTGGTTACAAAGAGAAATTATGGATAAAGTCGAACGGAAATTCGATGCCATTAAATTGCCAAACGAAAGACATGGCAAAAGAAAGTTGACGACATTGAAATTGCTCACTCATACGTCAAACTGAACTTAATTTTAAATAGCAATGTTGTGATAGATCGGTTGTGTGAGTCATTCTATACAAACCGGGAACTAAAACCAGATAAAAGAGATAAAGAGAAAAATATAACAATATGTCGGGTTATCTTTATTCTCCTGTTTTTTCTCCATTGTTTATTAAACTATCCCAGCAAACAAAATTGTAATGTTTTTAGTATATTCTAACGTTGAAAAATGTAACGTTTTGGCCCATTCTGGTGGTCATTTTCGTGTCAAATGGAACGGAGATTATATGCATAGTTTCCACGAATTCCAATGGAATGGATCCACTTGTTTCTTTCACTTCCAATAATATTTCATTTGACAACATAATGTGAACACAACCCAACACATTAAGTTTTATATTGAAAATACAAATCTTACGCTCAAATAAAAAAATAAACAATTTATTCGAAAAGAAATAAATAAAACTCTGCAGGAGAACTCTTTTATACGTCATTTAATGCATTTATTTTTCTTTATTTGTGGAATTATTATTTTGAATTTTCGAAATGCAACTGACATCTTTCTGACATTTTTCTATCCGCGCGGTGTATATGTGTCAAACCAAATCCAGTAGTTAGTATAAACAACTTTTGCACCAACCGATTTTGTTTACAATAAAATTTTGTTTTGTTTTCAACAGGATTTCTTGAGAATTATATGAGAGTGTTTGAAGCGTGGTTTGGGCGATCAATTGGTTTTATTGTCATTTCAAAAACGATTTTATGTGTTTGGAATGCTGTTCCCTGTGGAATGGATATATTCACAGTTGGTTTTGTGACTGTCTTTGTTTTAATTTCGAAATAACAGAGTGTTGATAAAATTAACTGTGAATATTCCAACAACATTTCGATCGGCAAAATATTTGTTGTCACGTTGGAAATAAATTTCATCATTCGATTTAGAATACAGAGTCACTTTGTTGAGGTAAGAGGTGATATTTATAATGCGCTCTTCATTACTGTTTCATTTAATTTGTGATAGAAGTGTTTATATCTTATTGTGTTTGTGATCTATGCTATATTTGGTGTATTTTTTTCTTTAATTTTTGTACAATAGATCTGTCACGATGAGAAGAAAGAGAGCCAAGAATGGGCGCAGTACGTCGTTGAAGATGACTCTAAATCAAGTGCTGCGGGAAGAGTATCGTGCACCATTCATCGATCAGGTCACATACTGGTGCCTTTCGGCCACAATGATTATGACTCTGGCGTCATTACTGTTTTTGTTCAAAGCAAACAAAGCCTTTGACGATGAAAATGTTCGATTTTTTAAAGGTGAATCCGATGAATACACGAATGATGAATTCAATAAATACGTGAATGGTGTAATTGGTGAATGTTTCACCTCGGTATTACAAGAAAATTACCACAAATTACCGCTTGCATTTCGACGAACTGTGGAGCAAGCATGTCCTGATTTTCTTCGTCCAGAAAATTGGCCAGCTCGCGAAGGCATGGGGAACGCATTCAATCATCTCATCACTCAGTACATAACAAACGTGAAAAATAACATCAAAGTATGGGCATTCAGTCGCATCAAGAAATTTTTCACACTAAAGCGCTACGAACTGAATTTGAATCGACAAGGAAATCTCATCACTGAATTGGATGTAAAACGTGCGACGAAGATCGTAATGTTCCAAAGTAGAGTCGAGAGAAACGCGAACATCGATCTTCTATTAAACGAAGCAGCAGGCATTGGATTGCCAATCAATGTACACTTTCAGAATCTCATTCGTGATCGCTGGTTCCAAACCATTCCAATATTTATAAACATTCAGCGACAAATTTTCGATTTTCACGCGAAATATGAAATGTTGAAACAACGCTGGTTCCAATATCGACGCGATCCGAACAAAAATGTCATGCCGACCACTCCACTCCCGCCAAAAATAAAGAATTTTTTAGTAGTTCCAATCCACGATTTCGATATGAAACATATCCGCATCGATATCCATCTTTTTTATTTGATTGCGCGCAAATTTGGAGCATTGAAATTGGCAAAAGGAAAACGCGGTCAGCCAATAAACATTGAAAAAACTGAATACGATAGCAATCCAGCTTTCTATTGGAATTTAATATTTGACATGCCAAAAATTTCGAAACTTGGAAATGGTAAGGAATTCGATTTTGCTGTGGCAACCGATAGTGTGGCAGTTTCGTTATGTTTCGTGAAGCCTGAACGCAATACACCAGAACTTGATAACAACACCATCAAAGAGAAGTACAATAATTTTGAGTTTGATTATGTGCTTGGAATCGATCCAGGAGTTCGTACATGGAACGCCACCGTTCGCAAACACGTTCGATCCGGCAACGAGGTAAGAAACAATAAATTCATTCTTTATTTATCATTTGTTTACTTCTATGATTTTTTGTTCGTAAATCTCAGGAAAACATCACAATTGATGGTCCAAAATACCATTTCAAAGCGAAATATGGCAAACGCAAGCGTAAATCCGATCAATGGACTGAATTGTTGCAAAAACAACGGGAGCTTGACTATAAACGCTATGCATTTTTCCCATCGCCGAAAGGACGTTCACATTGGATGTGTTACATCGCTTATTATGTGAAAATGATGAAACCAGCTATGGCGGTGTACACAACAAGAAAGTTTATTCGACTCCGTCTTGATAAATACATCGAAGAGAATCGGGCCAGTGACAAAATCGCGGCATCACTGACGAAAAAAAAGTCGGCGCTCGTTTTTATTGGTGCAGCTCAAATAGCTCCAAACTCACCAATTGGTATTAAAAAGCGATTGCGATGCCCGGGATTACGACGACTATTGAACAGTTTCAAGAAGTTGGGAAATTGTATTGTACGATTGGTCGACGAATACAATACATCGCAAACTTGTGCAAAATGTTTCCGGCCATTCGATCGACGAACCAAAAGCGATCGATACAAAGTTTGTCAGCATTGTATTCCAAGTGAAGATGAGTCATCGCAATGGAATTTACCGAACGTGATTATCACCATGAAAAGCAACCGAGTGTACCAACAATTGCGAAAATATGCAGTTGATTTTGTTAATCGATTGAATGCAGCCAACCCAGATCATATTCCAATGGATTCAGATGGTTTAGTGTCAAAACTTCAAGTATGTTTCAAAAACTGGCAACTAAACACAGGCATTTGGAAAGATGATCGAGCTCCATTTCAATTGAAAACTGTTTGGCACCGGGATATCGTTGCAGCCAAGAACATCATGTACAAAGGTGAAAAAATATCACTGAAATTAAAAATGTTTAAGAATGTTTTGGCTAACAATTTGTTGTTTACGATTTTGTTTTTAGGTCTTTGTACGGTGTTGGGATTGGACATTCATCCGCAACTATTGAGACCACAGAATCAAAATGCTGCCGTACAAAATCAAGCAGCTGACGATGAGGATTCCAGTGACGATGAGGACTACGTTTATGTTCTCGATGTTTCCGATGACGACCAGTTTTAATTACATGTAGCATTAAGATTTCTTTTTAAATAATATTATTGTAACGTTTTGTTACTATGCTGGGCTTGAGTTTTGTGGCCTTGACCGAAGTACGGGCAGTTCGGTATATAAAATAACCCGTAGGTGAGTATCATTAATTGAACTGAACCGATAGTATATTGATGTTGATTCATACTTAGTAACTGAGTTTATTTTTTCTCTTTTTTCTTTCCATTGCGACGTTGAAAATGACTGAAACTACACTCAAATCCGACCCCAATATTGACCGTCAACATATGCCCGATAATGGATGAATTTGCCACAAAAAATGTTTTTTGGGATATCTCTTTATAGAGAATTCTATATATTAACATACATATATTGTGTATTAGAATTATATAATAGATTATACAGAAAAAAATGTTGGCTATTGGCCAATTTTCTCATCAAATTTGGCATGTCTTGGTCCATAGACCCTAGTCGAGTTAGACAGATTCTCAAATGCGCCCAAAGACAATCGAAAAGTAAGTTGTTATATGCTCGAATAAAAAATCGTACATCATTTATTTGCAGATAGATTTGGTATGTCATTTATTAACAAATACTATATAAATCACACACTCACGCAAAAGTATCAAAAATACATGAAAGAGATAGAGATAGATAGAGAGAGATCTGAAAAAAGAAGTGTGAATGAGATAAATTGTAATGGAGCCATTTAAAATATCAATAGCTATAGGCTTGAACGCGTTCGCTGTTGATTCGCCTAGATTTTACTTCAATTTCGTTTTCGTACCCATTAAATTGATGATTTGGCGAGAATGTTGCGGCAACAGCATTAGTCTTAATGTTTTTGGCGGTCCAATTGTTCGACTGCTATCATGAAAGAAACCGTGAAGTGACGTGATGAAAAATGGTTTTACATCGATTCAGACTCGATATTGATCTTTTGATTTTGTGGCATTAATGAACAATAGCGTCTAGTATTTTAGCTAAAAGCGTCGTTCTTCTCTTTTTTTATTACATTTTTCGAATTGAAATAAATCGAGACAAAAACTTCTATACAATTCTGTCTATTTAGCAATTTCCTTGTCAAAATATGCAATGTATCATCCGATCTTGCTTTTCAACTTCTTTTCACCTTTTGCATCCACAGTCTTTGATTGATCCAATCTCGTGCTCTCGACAGATTGATCTTGATACGCATAAATTGCTGTAGTATTGAGAGTCCCCAATTTCGTTGTTATTACTTTGCAGGTTGTTTCGATATTCTGTTTGACGCATGCTGAGCGTTACCACAAATCGAAGGGTGTACAAGACCCTAACTGGTAACCATACTGAATACCTTTCAAATAAATGCGAACGAATGACTGAAACGTTTATGAAAAAAATTGCATACATTATTCTTTTCAAACTGGCTGAATACCGTTGGCGTAGCGAGTTATCTGCCTAAAACTGTTCATAAAATATTTACGTAAATTTTATTTAACAAAAAATTTAACTCTCAAGCACAACAATTTCGCACGCAGTTTGCCTTTCCCGTCCTTTGGCACCGTTCTAACGATGCGTGTAAATAAACGACGATTTAAACTTCCGTATAATCAAAAAGTTGTAGGTTCTATGCGCACATATATATATTCCGTTTTGCCTTGTTCGTTAATATTGTATATGCGGGCTCGTCGCACTCCATACAGAATTTCGTGCAAATTTCAATGTGGAAAATGTAATGCAAATCAACAGCAATTTGGATGTGTGTATGTGTGACAATAGAAAATTTATTATATGCGAGCAATATTCCATTTCAAGTACGACGAGTAAGAGAGTGTGAGAGCGAGAGAGAGGGAGAGGATGTAAAAAGAGTCATAACTTGAGCATAAGTTACTGTACAAGACTTTCAGCAGATGTGTCGTTCAATTAGAAGTTTGAGTTCCAACAATTTCATTTTAATGAAATATATGTAACCTTGGTCACGGATGCACACCAAAAAGCGAACAAAATTAAAATACAATGAAAAAGAATCAAATCAGAGAAAGCGAATAAGAAGTAAAACTTTGAATATGAAGAATGCTTTTTATTCTACACATTGTGGTACGATATACTCCATTACATTTACATTTAATTACCAAAAAAAGAGAAGAAAAAATGAGAAGTACAAACGACTCACCGGGAGTGGAAAAAAACGGAGTGGAAACAACGGAAACTTTGCAACACTGAATTTTGTGATAACAGCAAAAATGAACAGTTTTGTGACCGCATTGTAGACTTGCAACGGTTGTTTGATGTTTTCAACCGGGCCACATTACATTGCTTGTAAGCACTTAGGTCTGATGCGAATAGTTTTACATGTATGAAAACTGCTTTGCATAACAAATTGTCTATCATTATTGCCTTTTCATAAAACAACCGAAATAACAAAATAAAATGAATCTCGTTAAGTTTTTTTGTCAGTTGGTAAATTGTACTTGAAAATTGAAAAAACAGAATCGTCAATGTTTTGTTTGCATTTCTGTTTTTTTTCTGTCTTATCTTGAATTATGGATTTCACCAGGTGGCATGTTGTTATATGAGAAATTGCAAAATACCACATTTCAGAAAATGAGTTTATCCAAAAAAAATGGTACAAGTTTCACTGATAATGTCAGTTAGTTCAAATATTTTAAGCCATTAAAATTGCTTTCTTCGTTATCAGTATTGTTTAAATTTATTGTTCAAGTTTTTTCTGTTGTTCTTGCTCTGGCGTAAATGAACAAGTACAATGCCGAATTAAATGATGGTTGAAATGGCATTTTTAAAAAAGACCTTAAATAGAGACACCTTGTTTCACAAAATTTAAAATCAATTAGTCTCACGGCAGTGCGCGGTGTGTGTGCAGAGACTCAAAACGGTTTGCGTGCATTTCGGAGAGTTTTTTTTTTGTCGCTCGTACAGAATTTGATTACAGTTTATTTAAAACAGTGCTGTTGATGTGCGCACTTTTTTTTTCGTCGGTTTATTTCTCGTTCGCATGCTGTGTCAGTGTCTATTTCATTTGGGAATAAGTTTTTGTTTTGCCAACGATTTTATTCAACAATCGCGCGTTTGTTAACTCTCTCTATCTTGCACACACTCGACATCTAAGCTCATTCCGAGTGACGGGGTTCTTTCTGAAATTCTCTTGTGATTTACATTGTCGGTCATTTTCAAAAATGAGCACAACATACATTTTTGTTATAATAACAGCGATCGCTGCATTTTTCACAGTGATGCCAACACTTACGTTTGCTGCTACTCTTGAGCGTCGTACCAAATTTATTATTTATGATAATAAGTATGAAATTATCAATGCGCAAAAATTCGACATGAACATTGCAAATGATGCCAATGAAAGCAAAACGAGATGAAAATGAGGAAGTTTTTGGCCGCGTGTTTTGTTTGTCAAATGTGTAGTAATAACTTTTAATGAGAAAATCCAAATGCTGTTTGCTCGTGTTGTCATACAACACACACACACACACAGCCCAAGTAAACGACTCACAAAAACGACTAACAACGAACAAAAAAAACATGCAAATGCTAAAAAGCCACTATTATCACAAAATTTTGCACGCAGTGAATTTGCATTTCGTCTCGTAATTGTTGTTTTTATTGCTTTTAATTGAGTATTTATTTTCGCTTTGTGCCTTTTTATTTTGCGTTCGCACTCACTTACTCCATATTTATATTTTTGAGTTAATGTGTTGGTCACTTTTTTTTCCCCCTGAAATGGTTTTCAGAAACACCGAGGTGATGGTTTCAACATCGAGAGATGACGTTTTGGAGGATGCGCTTGCTGACTGTTGGCCAACAAAAAAATATGCAATAATTGTTCGAAACACAGATTTTTTTGACAAAACCGTTTTTTTTTTTGTTTAAACTAATTGATAGAAAATCAATTTCATATTAGGTGCCTGGATGGAGGGAAAGTTGCAATACTTCATGGACGATAGAGTTGCGAGAAAGTATGTGATATAGTTGAAATTCCATAAATTTGTTGTGAAGTGCAATTCTATTCTTTGTGTGTGTAAATTCATTTCATGCATATCATCAAGTTGTATATGTTGTGAGAAATTTGGGTCGTACCACATATTTATAAATCATTTACATCCAAGCACTTGTAATTGTAATAATATACGTGAGGATCGAACTAATTTGGTGCCATTTTATGCATTGCAGAGTTAATTGCGAATCGAGGCGGATGCATCATATGCATGGATTATCGTGACTATGTAGGTTCGGTTTGACTTTGTTGCGTCGACATCATATACATTACATATTAGAATAAACACACGTGCATACACGGATGTATGAATGTCTCACAATTGGAACATTCACTTCGGCCACTTTCAAATATGGAACATCATATCATCGTATTTCTCTTTTCACGCAATTATTATTTCTCTTTTTTTTCTTCATTTTCAATTTTATCATACAGAACGAAGACTATGGGTTTTTGCTCGTTAATTTTAAAACGATCGCAAATTTATTGACCGACAAATTGAAAGTATTGAGAGAACTTGCTTTTGATTCATCATCATCGTATTTATTTGGTTTTAGTTTTGGGGCACGTTTAATTGCAAAGGCTGCAACCGATCTTGGAACTAAACAAATCGGAACAATTCATTGTAAGATCAAATTAGTAAAAAACAAAAAAATTAGCTGAGAAATTGTATAAATTGATATTTGTCGAATTATCTTTTAATTTGTGAAAATACTAAATGAATTAAGAGATGTTTTCGTGTCGCTTTTTTAATGAAGAAATATTTGTTCAATTTGTTTTTGTTGTTGTGGTTTATAAATTGTTGTAGTGTGTGAGCCTGCGGGGCCAGGATTCGATGGTTTGAGAAATGCCGATCCAAAAATGGCAGCTGTGCATTCGCAATGCATCCATACTGCCTCGGGGGGATATGGTGAGTTGTGGTATATTTTGTATGGTATAAGCATGTTTAATACTTGTTTAATGCAGGCACTCGTGAACGTACATGTCATCAAAACTGGAATATGGGTAATTGTGGCGAATCTCAAATCGGTCAAAGGTAATAAGCATTTATTGAATTATTATGTTAAACAAACGATGGCATCATTTGTCTGTATATATATTCGTTTACGTTCTAAAACAATTTTTTATTGTTGTTGTTTAGGCCATTTCCATTGGGCAACCACGGATTGTGTCCCGTTTTTTATATAAGTGCATTTGATAATGTATTTGCTGCCGTGAAAAAGACTGAGGCATGCCAACAACCGATTAATGAACGAGATGCAATCAATTTACCACATAACCAAACCATTCGAATGGGCTATTATCAAAATGTATCGAGCATGATCGATCTAAACGAAACAAATTTGTATGCTATCACAAGCCGTGATCCGCCATTTAATTAAAGGTCAACCCAAAAAATATTATTCGTTCTATCTCATACTGCCAACTCAAAATGACGTATAAATGTAACAATAAAATAAAATGTCTGACATTCGGGTGTCAAATCCCAAACGTCTGTCTCTCCCAACTAGTAAATGTCATTTTATTTAATCCAAGGGGCAAACTACTTCACTTTCGTAATTCTTATAATTCAATCTAG